GCAGCCGTCTATCAGGAGATTTTGGAGCACTTCATGCTTCCTTCTGCAGACGAGCTTTATGAGGATGCTGACTTCATTTTCCAGCAGGACTTGGCACCTGCCCACACTGCCAAAAGCACCAAAACCTGGTTCAATGTCCGTGGGATTACTGTGCTTGATTGGCCAGCAAACTCGCCTGACCTGAACCCCATAGAGAATCTATGGGGCATTGCCAAGAGAAAGATGAGAGACATGAGACCGAACAATGCAGAAGAGCTGAAGGCCGCTATTGAAGCATCCTGGTCTTCCATAACACCTCAGCAGTGCCACAGGCTGATAGCTTCCATGCCACACCGCATTGAGGCAGTAAATGCTGCAAAAGGGGCCCAAATTTTGCAAAAGGGGCCCAAATACATATGCATGCTTATACGTTTCAGAGGTCCGATATTGTTCTATGTACAATCCTTGTTTCATTGATTGCATGTAATATTCTAATTTTCTGAGATTGTGGATTTGGGGTTTTCATGAGCTGTAAGCCATAATCATCACAATTATGACAAATCACGGCTTGAACTATCTTGCTTTGCATGTAATGAGTCTATCTCATATATTAGTTTCACCTTTTAAGTTGCGTTACTGAAATAAATAAACTTTTGCACAATATTCTAATTTTTCGAGTTTTACCTGTAGATGAAGCAAACATATACGTGCATTGCAGCCATAACACCTTTAAAGTATTACATATTTGTTTTGCTGGTTTATTCATAGTTTAGCTCACTAGATAGTATGTAGAATTGCAGGGGCTTGTTAGAATCTATTTATATGGTCAAAGGCAAACTCTAAGCTACATGCATCATATACTGTACATATTTTACATTTTTACTAGAACAGGGAGGAGATCCAGGCTAAAAGCACAGCAATTAACAAACATTAATACACAAAGACAGATGCCAGAGAAAACTCTCAGCTGGCATGCATACACTCAGGATCAGGCGGAAGTAGGAATCACAATGTTTCAGAGTAAAAATCCCTTTCTCAAGTGAGATCGACCTGTTTGCATGTGGCATCCAAACCATTTAAATACACAAATTGGCTCCAAAACTCACTAACCCCCCGTCAAAGTGATGTCATATCCAGTGCAGGAGGTTGCACTCTCATGACATCACTTCCAGACCAAAACCTCTTGGATGCAGCCTGCCAACCCCTGGAGGAAGTAGTCAACCAGGGTCAGGGAGCCAATCCCACACCAGAAGTAGCAGACTGCACTTGCAGTCTTAAAGGGACATACTCCATCAGTTAGACCATAATATATAAAATGAAAATAAACAGCAGAGTGGGGAAGCAGGTCTTGAATCCTAGAGAAGTGAAACCAGTACAACATAAAGAGCAATCTAAAAAAGAACAGAAGACAAACTGCGAAAATGTTTACACATAAACAAGGCAAACCACATTAACCGCAATTACCTACACTCACTGACCACTTTATTAGGTACACCTTACTAGTACGGGGTTGGACCCCTTTTGCCTTCAGAACTGCCTTAATTATTTGTGGCAAAGATTCAACAAGCTTTTGGAAAAATTCCTCAGAGATTTTGGTCCATATTGATATGATAGCATCACACAGATGCTGCAGATTTGTTGGCTGCGCATCCATGAACCATTGATACAAGGTAGGATGGATCCATGCTTTCATGTCAAATTCTGATCCTACCATCTGAATGTCATAGCCGAAATCGAGACTCATCAGACCAGGCAACGTTTTTCTAGTCTTCTATTGTCTAATTTTTGGTGAGCCTGTGCAAATTGTAGCATCCATTTACTGTTCTTAGCTGACAGGAGTGGCACCCAGAGTGGTCTTTTGCTGCTGTAGCCCATCTGCTTCAAGGCTCGATATGTTGTGCATTCAAAGATGGTATTCTGCATACCTTGGTTGTAACGAGTGGTTATTTGAGTTATTGTTGGCTTTCTATTATCTCAAACCAGTCTGCCCATTCTCCTCTGATCTCTGACATCAACAAACCATTTTTGTCCACACAACTTCCACTCACTGGGTATCTTCTCTTTTTCAGACCATTCTCTGTAAACCCTAGAGTTGAGTGTGAAAATCCCAGTAGATCAGCAGTTTTTGAAATACTCAGGCCAGCCCATCTGGTACCAACAACCATGCCGCATTCAAAGTCACCTAAATCTACTTTCTTTCCCTTTCTGATGCTCAGTTTGAACTTCAGCAAGTCGTTTTCACCATGTCTAGATGCCTAAATGCATTGAGGTGCTGCCATGTGATTGGCTGATTAGCAATTTGTGTTACCAAGCACTTGAACAGGTGTACTCAATAAAGTGGCTGGTATATGTATATCTGCATACACTATATTACCAAAAGTACTGGGACACCTGCCTTTACACGCACATGAACTTTAATGGCATCCCAGTCTTAGTCTGTAGGGTTCAATATTGAGTTGGCCCACCCTTTGCCTCTATAATAGCTTCTACTCTTCTGGGAAGGCTGTCCACAAGGTTTTGGAGTGTATCCATGGGAATGTTTGACCATTTTTTGAGCATTTGTGAAGTCAAGTACTGATGTCGCACAAGAAGGCCTGGCTTGCAGTCTCCACTCTAATTCATCTCAAAGCTGTTCTATCGGGTTGGGGTCAGGACTCTGTGCAGCCCAGTCAAGTTCCTTCACCCCAAAATTTGCTATTCCATGTCTTTATGGACCTTGTTTTGTGCACTGGTGCACAGTCATGTTGGAATAGAAAAGGGCCATCCCCAAACTGTTCCCACACAGTTGGGAGCATGCAATTGTCCAAAATGTCTTGGTATGCTGATGACTTAAGAGTTCCCTTCACTGGAACTAAGGGGCCAAGCCCAACCCCTGAAAGACAACCCCACCCCATAATCCCCCCTCCACCAAACTTTACACTTGGCACAATACAGTCAGGCAAGTACCATTCTCCTGGAAACCGCCAAACCCAGACACATCCATTGGATTGCCAGCCAGAGAAGCATGATTCGTCACTCCAGAGAACATGTCTCCACCACTCTAGAGTCCACTGGCAGCGTGCTTTACACCACTGCATCTGATGGTTTGCACTTGGAGATGTAAGGCTTGGATGCATCAGCTCGGCCATGGAAACCCATTCTATGAAGCTCTCTATGCACTGTTGTTGTGCTAATTTGGAGGTCTTTAGCTATTGACTCTGCAGACAGTTGGCAACTTCTGCGCAGTGTATGCTTCAGCATGCACTGACCTCACTCTGTCACTTTTCATGGCCTAACACTTCATGGCTGAGTTGCTGTTGTTCCCAGTTGCTTCCACTGTTTTATACCACCACTAACAGTTGACCTTGGAATATTTAGTAGCAAGGAAATTTCACAGATGGATTTATTGCACAGGTGGCAACCTATCACGGTACCACGCTTGAATTCACTGTGCTCCTGAGAGTGACCCATTCTTTCACAAATGTTTGTAGAAGCAGTCTGCATGCCTAGGTGCTATATTTCATACACCTGTGGCCATGGAGGTGATTGGAACACCTGAATCCAATGATTTGGAGGGATGTACTAATACATTTGGCAATATAATGTACAGTATATACACATATACACTTCAAGAGGATCACTTTAACTATCTCATACTGAGTGGAACAAAATTAGCCAGAAGCACATGCATCATTTTTATTATTATTATACAGGATTTATATAGCACCAACAGTTTGCTCAGCGCTTTACAATATAACGGGAGACAATACAGCAACAATACAGTTCAATAAAAGAGGGATTGAGGGCCCTGCTCCTTGGAGCTTACAATCTAGGAGAGAGGGGCTAGTGGCTCAAAAGGTAGTAACTGTGGGGGATGGACTGGTTGGAAAAGTAGAAGATTCCAGTATTAGCTGAGGGCAGGATAGGCTTCCCTAAAGAGATAGGTTTTCAGAGATTACCTAAAAGTGAGCAGAGTAGGCGATAGTCTGATAAATTGTGATAGAGAGTTCCAGAGGATGGGGGAAGCTCTGGAGAAGTCCTGGAGACGAGCATGGGAGGAGGAGACAAGGGAACTAGAGAGTAGGAGGTCTTGTGAGGAGTGGAGAGTACGGTTTGAGTGATATTTAGAGACAAGTTCGGTGATGTAATTTGGGGCAGAGTTATAAATGGCTTTATACGTTATTGTTAAATGTTTTGAATTTTATCCGTTGGGCAATGGGAAGCCAGTGGAGGGATTAGCAGAGAGGGGTGGCAGACACAGAACGGTTAGTAAGGTGGATGAGTCTGGCACCAGTATTCATGATAGACTGAAGAGTGGATAGCCTGCGATGAGGTAAACCAATGAGGAGGGAGTTACAATAGTCAAGGCGAGATATAACCAGGGAGTGAATAAGTTGCTTAGTGGTTTCCGTGGTTAGGAACGGGCATATATTGGAGATGTTGTGGAGGTGAAGTCTACAAGATTTGGACAGTGATTGGATTTGGGGATGAAAAGACAGATGGGAGTCTAGGATTACACCTAGTACCCTGGCATGAGGGGAGGGACTGATGATTGTGTTATTGATCTTGATGGAGAAGTCAGGGGAGGGGGCACAGACTGGGGGGAATACTAAGAGCTCAGTTTTGGAAAGATTGAGTTTGAGGAAGTGGAGTGACATCCATGCTGATATGTCACTTAGTAGGTTAGTAATGCGAGAGGAGACTGAAGGGGTTAGGTGAGGGGTAGAAAGATAGATTTATGTGTCATCAGCATAGAGATGGTACTTAACCACTAGCCTACAGGGCACTTATACCCTCTTCTTGCCCAGGCCAATTTCCAGCTTTCATCGCTGTCGCACTTTGAATGAAAATTGCGCGGTCATGCAACACTGTACCCATATGAAATTTTTATAATTTTTTTGTGACAGAGCTTTATTTTGGTGGTATTTAATCACCTCAGGGTTTTTTATTTTTTCTTAAACAAACCAAAAACCACTGAAAATTTTGACTAAGTTTTTATTAGTTTTTGTTATAAAATTTTGTAAATAAGTGATTTTTCTCTTTCACTGATATGCGCTAATGAGGTTGCAGTGATGGGCACTGATAGGCTGCAGTGATGGACAATGATAGGTGGCACTGATGGGCACTGATGAGGAGGCACTGTTAGGTGGCACTGATGGGCATTGACAGGCATCACTGATGGGCACTGAAAGGCAGCACTGATACATGGCACTGATAGGCGGCACTGATAGGCGGCACTGACTGGCACTGATAGGTGGCACTGACTGGCACTGATAGGTGGCACTGACTGGCAATGATAGGCGGCACTGACTGGCACTGTTAGGCGGCACTGACAGGCACTGATAGGCAGCACTGACTGGCACTGATAGGCGGCACTGACAGGTGGCACTGATTGGCAGCACTGATAGGTGGCACTGATTGGCATTGATAGGTGGCACTGACTGGCACTGATGGGTGACAATGAAAGGCAGCTGAGATGGGCACTGATATGTGGCATTGATGTGCACTGGTAGGCACTGATATGTGGCATTGATGTGGCACTGATGGGCACTGGCACGAGGCACTGATGAGCACTGACACAAGGTGAATCTCACTTGAGAAAAATTTTTGTACTACGAAACGTTGTGATTCCCAACTTCTCCTGATCCTGAGTATATTTGTGCCAGCTGAAGGTTTTCTCCAGTATTTATCCATGTGTATTGAGGTTTGTTAATTGCTGTACTTTTAGCTATTTATTTATTTCAGGTACTTATATAGCACTGTAAATTTTACGCAACGCTTTACATGTATACTGTATTGTGCATTCACATCAGTCCCTAATCCTCAAGGGGCGTACAATCTAAGGTCCCTAACTCACATTCATACATACACATACTAGGGCTAATTTAGACAGGAGCCAATTAACCTACCAGCATGTGTTTGGAGAGTGGAAGGAAACCAGATTACCCGGAGGAAACCCACGCAGGCACAGGGAGAACATGCAAACTCCAGGCAGGTGGTGCAATATGTATATGATATCTAAATAATGTATAAGTGAGCACTAAACGAGTTGGGTGGAGCCTCATTGCTGACGTCACGCTACTGAGGAGCGGCAGCCATCTTGCTGATTCCCCCCAGGATCACAGGAGAGGAGACCTGCCCCAATGGATGGATGGGTGGAGGTGCAGGATTAGATCCGGAGCTGTCAGTAGACCACTGCACCCCCAGATGTGTGATATAAACAAATGCTCATTTTTTATTTTCTGTCTGGTGAGTGTACATCCGTCCCAAGCGGTGGATTCCTTTCATGAATTTCTGCACGTCTGCACTTCATGAATAATTGCACGTTTGCACTTCGGCACTTTGGATAATTACCCTTCCAAAAAGGACATTAGCAGTTTTTACTGCACAATGAATTACTTTTACAGTTGTCACGGATGCATATTGATGCACATAGTTGCACTTTTGACGCACTTCTCTGCACCTTATTGATCATATGTGATATATGTTATTTATGTTACATGCGTTTATAGCGCTGTAATTATACCTTTTAAATATGTATATGATGCTTGCAGCTGAGAGCGGCCTTTGTCTAGATAGAGGAACTGTGGGGAGATCTTGTGCATGTACTCTGATGTAATGTTATGTCTCTATAAGTCTCCATTTGATGCTTATATGAAAATCAAAAAGTTAGCTGCTAAGTTAGCTGCTTGGAGTGCTGCCTATTATTTAGTTGTAGAATATTATTCCTAGGTCTTTCTTGAGGAACCCTCTCTGCAGCCTACAGTAATTTTGTTAAGTGCCACATGTTATATAATATTGGTATACATTGGGTGGGCTGATTTTATAGCCCCTCTATAGCAGTAATATGTCTATATAGGTACTGTAGATGGGGCTACAAATATAATGGGTTCTGCTTATACTAACAATGTGCAAATGTTTTAAAACGTTTCTGTGTGTTATTTGAATTTTAGCTACAATCAGTCTGATTATGCCAGGTTAAGTTGACACTAATACCAGTTTTGGTTTTTTAATTTGTGCATGCATGTCTTTATTTGAGAGGGAATTGTGGGATTTGGGTGTGTATTAGCTTACCTTTTGTTTTACTAATTTGTTTTGTGGTATCTGGGAGCCCCTTAATATTAAAGTGGGCTTCCAGATTAGAATAAGCCCCCTACCTACAGTGTTCCAGAACTAATTAAGGGTTGTGGGGAAGAGACCTTTGTCCTCATCAACATGGGGACAAAGTGCTTTGCAAGGCGCACATGGCCTGGTATGGTTCAAGATGGAGATGCATGCTCGTCTTCCCTAATTTCCTTTTTTATTTTTGGATGGGGTCATCCACTAACATCTACACTAAACCCTTATCTAGATTGTGCATGAATTTTGTTGTTGTTTTGTGTGTATATCTATATCACGGTCGTCTGTTTTAAATAAAAAAGAATCCCCAGCCATTTGTTTACAAAAACAAGTTAAGCAGTCAAAGCTTTATTTTGCCGGCAATATAAATGACATTTGTAAATGTAATTTTTGCTGTATGCATCACTTCACAGGCAGGTTGAGGGCATCTCCCAAGTAGGTTATTTAAAGCAATTTTGCATTTTTAATGTTGCCCTGAAAGCATTATTAAAATCACTGCTCCCTGCTAAAGTGACATTTTTTAAATTATATTTTTTGCTTTGCTACATGTTCCCCAGGGCATAACCCTGCCCACCATGCAATTTGTTTGACAATCCTTTGCCTATTAACCTTAAAATGTCCATAATTGATTTTTAATGTTTGACTCTTATTGACTTGTATTGATTTATTGACAATGGGTTTTGGATTCAGCACCCAAGCATTAATAATGTTTGCTGAACCCACTTTGAACAGAACCTAGGTACATTTAGTTCATTCCTAACTATAAGAATCCAGACAGCACTGTGTAGCTGTGTTGGTTTTCCAGCAGCAATCTTTTTCCTCGCAGAAATTTAATCAGAAATCATTTTTTTTTTCACATTACTAGCAAAAGCTCTGGGAGAGACACATGCAGCCCACAGGCCACCAATACAGCACTGCTGGTCCGACCATTGTGTGACATGAACGTGAATGTGAATTCATTTTATATTGGCTTTATCCTTTTCCATTTAAGAAGGGTTATGTTAGAAATCTTTTATCTTATGTAATACTCCTAGACAGCACGCAGAAATATATGCAAAAAAATAACCACATAGAAATATAAGGATATTGAATCTGCTGCTGGAGAAAAGATTATAACGACCTTTCTAACGCAGGTCAGAGAACCTGATATGAATCTATTAATGCATTGTCATCTCTTATTACTAGTGTAATGGAATATTTGATACCACTGTAAAATCATTCTATTTCAATTCTGTAACGTGAACTGACATATAGTCTGTTCTCCATGGGACAGGATGATATCACTGTTAAAGAACTTGTATTATATTTGGACCAGGAACGGTATTTATTGGGTATCATCTAAGAATCAATCTAAATCACTTTGGTTTCCCGCAAAGCACTTGTACTATACTGAGCTGTCAATTGAGTTCTTCACAAAGTCTACATACAGTGCATCCAGAAAGTATTCACAGCGCTTAACTTTTGCCACATTTTGTTATGTTACAGCCTTATTCCAAAATGGATTAAATTCATTTTTTTTCCTCAACATTCTACAAACAATACCCCATAATGACAACATGAATGATTTTCGGTTTGAAATCTTTGCAATTTATTAAAAATAAAAAACAAGAAAACTACATGTACATAAGTATTCACAGCCTTTTGCTCAATACTTTGTTGAAGCATCTTTAGCACCAATTACAGCCTCAAGTCATTTTGAGTATGATGCTACAAGCTTGGCACACCTATTTTTGAGCAATTTCTCCCATTCTTCTTTGCAGTACCTCTCAAGCTCCGGGTTGGATGGGGAGTGTTGGTGCACAGCCATTTTCAGATCTCTCCAGAGATGTTCAATCGGGTTCAAGTCTAGGCTCTGGCTGGGCCACTCCAGGACATTCTCAGAGTTGGTCCATAGCAACTCCTTTGTTATGTGGGCTGTGTGCTTAGGGTCATTGTCCTGTTGAAAGATGAACCGTCGCTCCAGTCTAAGGTCCTGAGAGCTCTGGAACAGGTTTTCATCAAGGATGTCTCTGTTCATTGCTGCATTCATCTTTCCTTCGATCCTGACTAGTTTCCCAGTTCCTGCCACTGAGAAACATCCCCACAGCATGATGCTGCCACCACCATGCTTCACTGTAGGGATGGTATTGGCCAGGTGGTGAGCAGTGCCTGGTTTCCTCCAGACATGACACTTGACATTCAAGTCAAAGAGTTCAATCTTTGTTTCATCAGACCAGAGAGTTTGCCTTTTGTCAAAACTTCACGTGGGCTACCATTTGTCTTTAACTGAGGAGTGGCTTCTGTCTGGCCACTCTACCATACAGGCATGATTGGTGGAGTGCTGTAGAGATGGTTGTTCTTCTGGAAGGTTTCTCCTCTCTCCACAGAGAAATGCTGGGGCTCTTCCAGAAGGACCATCGAGTGTTTGGTTACCTCCCTGGCTAAGGCCCTTCTCCCTCAATCACTCATTTTGGCCAGGCGGGCCTGCTCTAGGAAGATTCCTGGTGGTTCCAAACTTCTTCCATTTACGGATGATGGAGGCTCATTGGGACCTTCAATGCTGCAGAAATTTTCCTGTACCTTTCCCCAGATCTGTGCCTTGATACAATCCAGTCTCGGATGTCTACAGACAATTCCTTGGACTTCATGGCTTGGTTTGTGCTCTGACATGCACTATTAACTGTGGGACCTTATATAGACAGGTTTATGTCTTTCATAATCATGTCCAAACTGAATTTCCCGTAGGTGGACTCCAATCAAGTTGTAGAAACATCTCAAGTATGATCAGTGGGAACAGGATGCACCAGCGCTCAATTTTGAGTGTCATGGCAAAGGCTGTGAATATTTATGTACATGTGTTTTTTTTTTCATTTTTCATTTTTATATATCAATTGCCCTGTCAAAAGGTTAAAGTACATGTGAACCCTTATCTTGTAAAACAACCCATTCAGTTTAAAATAGAAATGAAAGGATATATACATATATATATTTGTATATATACAAATTTAATGTGATCACTTGCAAAAAAAAAGGTTATATATATATATATATAACCTTTTTTTTTTGCAAGTGATCACATTAAATTTGTTTTCAGCTACAGTACAGGGGGTGAAGGGGTGGAGAAACAGCAATACACTGAGGTTCCATGCACACTGGGCATTTTAATAACGCTAGCAACGTTAGCTGTGTAAAATCACATTAAACTTGAATTTTTCAGGATTTTGTATTAGTGTTAGCGGCGTGTTGCCACTTTTTTTGTATTTTTTGGCGTTTGCATTTTTTAGAGTTTTTTGACCAAAAAAATACATTTTTTTTTAGTCAAAAAAAGTTCAAAAACGCTGGTTTGCCACGATTTACTGCGTTTTACCGCATTTTGTCACGTTTTTCAGTGTTAGAGCATTTTTACAGCTTAAAAACTCCTCTAGAAACCCACTAGTCCTGGGGTTTATTTCCAGCCAAAAAATGTCCCTGCCAAAAAAT